GGGGCACCGGCTCCTGTCGGCGTTAAATCCTCCGGTGAGGGGGGGTGGGCTGGGGACGGTCCCCGGCGGTGCGTTAGCGCGCCCCCGCTGCCCATCCTTCGTCGCCTTCAGCTTTTTCCTGCGTGGCCGGAGCCCGTGTGAGGGTTTCTCCCACCTCCTGCCACTCGCGGCGGGAAATACCGTGCCAACGGGGCAGCGGTGGAGCTGCCCCGACAGCGTAATTGCTTGGTAAAGGTGCGGGCATTAAACGGGAAAAAAACTTTCACGCTATCAAAAAAAACCCAAAAAACCCAACCCAAGCCCGAACTAGTGACGTACTTGATGATGTATTCCAAGAGGTATGGATAGAGTGACTGCGTATTTTACCGTAGCTGTCAGATGCTGTCAGAGAGGTGCCTAGCAGACAGCCAGCGATAGCTGAGTAAGTTTGCTTACCGTCAGTCCTTTTCTGCCTTAAACGTATTTTGAACATGGTTCTGGTCATCCTGTTCCATTTTTGTCTAACGAGGGAACAACAGGCAAAAGTATCAACAGGTATGTAACGCTTGCTCAAGCTATACTGGGGAGCTGACCTCGAGGACGCAGCAGTTCCAGTGCAGCTCTTAAAATGCCACTGATAACTCATCTGCTGTAGGTCTCTTAAAAATCTCGAAACTTGAAGAGCACCAGGGGTGATAGTTCTTAAAATATTTACACAGTATCCCAGCTCTGCAGTTTTGAACTTCTTTAATTACATTAACACAATTCATTACGCTGACATAGGTGTTAGGTGTTCAGCTTTAACATCAGTCTGGTGTAAGTACACAAGAGCTTCTAATGTGAAATGACAGGCAGAGGCTAGTAAAGGCTGCCTGTGTGCGGCATAGCTTCCGAGTCTGCGGTTAATATCTGTCACCTGGGAGACAGAAACTCGATTTTTGTTTGGTATTTTCTCATCGCGATCTGTATTGGAACGCCCCCCTCTTATGGTGTAATGTGTGTGGGTGTAAGTAGTTCAGCTCAAGGGTTAATAAAACACTGTGCCTTATCAGATCTCTGACTCTTAAAATCCCTCAAGGACACTTAGCAGAAATTTGACCTTTTCGGTTTGTGTATCTTAGAATTATAGAATCGTTTAGGTTGGAGAAGTCCTTTAAGATCATCAAGTCCAACCGCTAACCTAACCCCGCCATTCCACCACTAAACCAGGTCCCTAAGCACCACATCTACCCGTCTTTTAAATACCTCCAGGGATGGGGACTGCTTCCCTGGGCAGCCCCTTCCAATGCTTGACAACCCTTTCACTGAAAAAATTTTTCCTAGTGTCTAATCTAAACCTGCCCTGGCGCAACTTCAGACCATCCCCCTTCGTCCTATCGTCCGTTACCAGGGAGAAGAGGCCGACCCCCACCTCGCTACAGCCTCCTTTCAGGCAGTGGCAGAGGGCGATAAGGTCTCCCCTCAGCTTCCTCTTCCCCAGGCTGAACAACCCCAGCTCCCTCAACTGCTCTTCATCAGACTTGTGCTCCAGAGCCCTCACCAGATTTGTTGCTCTCCTCTGGACATGGTCCAGCAACGCAATGTCTTTCCTGAACAGTATTCGAGGTGTGGCCTCACTGTTGGTTATGACGTATAGTCACTGAAGATAACGAGGAATGGTCCTCCAGCTCTCCTTCTGACATAGCAAATGAAGGCTCTGTTTTTCCCGCTTGCACCCACTAAAGCTTAAAGACCTTTTCTACTCTTCTTGTCGGAAAAAGAACTTTTTTTTCCAAGCTTCTGTTTGTTCTGGCGGTGGTGCACTGTTGATGTCCTTTCTGTACTGGTCTGTTTTAAGACTAAAAATAGTGTTCTTAAAAATCAAATCCACTTAGGGCCCTAGGTGCAACTCTTACGTACAAGTTAGCACCCCTAAGCCTTTTTAAGTTAGATATCTTAACAGTTGAATTTTTAAAGATACCTTTGAAGGTTATAAACCTTTCATTCCAGATCTATCAGTTATGCTGAATACAGAAATCATTGCTTAGGCACAGTATTTCTGTACTGGATCAAGTCCATGGTTTATCTAGCTTCCTCTGCTTCAGAAGAAGAAGATATGTGACAGCCTGGCTTCCAGTAGTGGGGCTGCTCTGATACCAGGAGTTTGAGATTATCAAAACTTGTTTCATAAAAAGAGTTCTGTGTTGAGAAGAGCACCCATTAATGTAATTCATGCTAACAAACTGCTGGAAGCAGTAGTATAGGTGCAGACTTAAGGCAGTAAGCTGATACGGTTTCTGAAAATCTGTTTCTTTATTTTGAACTTCCTGGGGTTTTTTATCTGAATTAAATTTCACTTTGCTTTTTTTGCTATAGGAATAAACAGAAGCTAACGATTTCTTCTGTAGTTTATTTGGTGTGCTTAGAATTATAGAAGAATTTATGTTGGACTTCTGGAGGTCATCTAGTCCCGCCTCCTTCTCAAAGCAGACCTAACTTAAATGTTAGGTCAGGTTGCTTTTCCGGTTAAGCTCTGAAATGAATTGTGATTCAACAATCTCTGAGGAGAGCTACTCTGTCATTGTGGGTTTTCTGCACAGCTAATGGAACATCACTTGTAGCAATTTGTGACTGTTGCCCCGTGCCCTCATTTCTGTTAGTCTTGGGTTACTAATTCCTTTCTTCACTCTGTAGAAAGGAATTCTTATTTTTTTCTGTTTGTGTGTCAATAGTTTCTTACTGCCTTTCCAAGCATCACTGTATTCTGAAGGGACTTTTGGGAGCTGTGAAGTTGTACAGCATGTGCCATATTACACAAGCTAGATCCCTGATGTAGTGTTGTCTGAATACTTGCATACATGGTAGTTACAAATATTGTCTCCTTTTCTTTCTACAGACACCCCTGGGATACAGTGATCAAAGCTGCTATGAGAAAGTACCCCAACCCAATGAATCCATGTGTGGTAGGAGTGGATGTCCTCGACAGAAGCCTGGATAACCAGGGGAGGTTGCATAGTCACCGTCTTCTCAGCACAGAGTGGGGATTGCCGAGTATTGTAAAAGCGGTACGCTTCTACAGTCTTCATGGTTTATTAAGGGTGTGATGCATTTTTATGTCATCATCCACATTAGAGCTGAATTCAAAGTAAAAGCTTAATTTATAGGAAATATCATCCAAAGATATCACACAAGCTGTAATTCGCGTACTTTGTAGCAAGAATACATTGTAGGCTTTAATATGCCTATGGTGTGTATGTCTATACGTGCCTTCCAGAGTGGTCTGTGTCATGTTATATGACTGATACAACCTACCAGCATGTAGTCTTGCCACTGATCACAGTGTTCTGGTATCTATGAATTGCTTTGTATTTATTTGGGGTCCCTAAGAACTTGACATTTGTGTATTTCAATTTGGTTTTGGTTTTTTGGTTTTTTTTTTTAATTTTAGTACTTTAAAAAATTTTTTTATTTCTTCACTTTCAGATTTTAGGAACAAGTAGAACTCTGACTTACATTGAGGAACATTCTGTGGTAGATCCAGTGGAAAAAAAGATGGAGCTTTGCTCAACTAATGTGAGTGGCAGCTTAAGAAGTTTCTGGTAATTAGTTCTGGAGAGCTGATGTTTTGCTCTTAACATTTAGATTAGAAATTTGTTTGCATCTTTCATCAGGAGGTGGCAATTTCCACGTCTTAGCTGTCTCTTTTTTTTTTTTTTTTCCCTACTTCTTTCCACAAGTAGGAAACTTCAAATACTTTGGTGATTTTGGTTTTAATGTAAGATTATTTCTTGGAATGGATGTAAAGTAGTCTGACTTTTAGATGAATAATTTGTTCTACAGTACACTGCCATTTACAACAAAAATTTTAATTTGTAATGCCTTTTTTCACAAAATGTAAATGAAGTATTATGCTATATTTTGGTATCCTGGGAACTTGTAACTATCAGATTTGAAGTGGAGTTGTCTGTAGGAGAGGCTTGCCTCTATACAAGAGGCATTGTCTTTCCTGAGTATTAATTTTCTGTACACTCCCAATAGTGTCTTGGTCTTGAAGAGCCTCTCTGAATTGCATGCCATAAATCAGGTAAGACTCAACATTCAGAGAAAACAAATGGAAAGCTGTGCTTTGTACTGTGAATAGGAACTTAGGTTGATATAATTAGGTTTAGGATAGGAGAAGATGCATCACCCTTTATAGGTCTTTTTATTGACTGTGTTCCGGGTTTTATATTCTGTCTACGCTGCTTTGGCTCTGACATTAAATTGAGCGCTCTGCTACTGAGTAGTGCTATTGATAACAGAAAAATGAAAGGCGGCAAGTGAGGATTTCAGCTCTTTTTTTTTCTTTTTAAGATTACTCTCACAAACTTGGTGTCTGTTGATGAGAGACTGGTTTACACGCCTCATCCTGAAAACCCTGAAAAGTGAGTAAGGATATTTGTGTGCTTCTTTGTGTATAGGAGACATTATGTTAGTCCAATTCAGTTTAGGTATTAACTTTTCTTTATTCTCTTACAGAACTGTGCTAACTCAAGAAGCAATTATTACTGTCAAAGGCATTAGCTTGAGCAGTTATCTGGAAAGCTTAATGGCAAATACAATATCTTCTAATGCCAGAAAGGTACATCTTTATTCTGTTTTCTCTCTCTTCCCCCCCCCCCCCGCCTTTTCTTTTTGTTGAAATAGTAATTGTCAGTCATGTGTGCTGAATACTGTATTGTATTTCTCTAAACTTTGTGCATAGAGTTTCAGCTGATTTTTTTGTAGGACCGCAGCATATGAAAAGGTTTCACAACTAAATCTTCGTTTTTAAACTAGAATTCGTATCAGAACAAACAAACTTCTATGTGTATGCTACAGTTCACATAGCATACACATATTATTGGGATTTGGGTTTTTGTTTCCAAAGCACCTTTTTAAACACTAACCTCCTATTTCCAGGAGTTAGTGCTAGTAGTGAATATAACTTCCTTTTCAGCTTTATAATTTGGATTCAGCAGTTAATGCTAGTGTATTTTTTATGCTGCTTTGTCAGTTGTTCTAGTTCCTATTCATTATTGAGCTGTCTCCTTGCCTTTGGCTGAAAGTAAGGTAGTGTAAGCAGAGGCATGCTCTTTGAAGGATGAAACTATGCTGGCTTTTGTAGGTAACACTACACCGATGTCTCTGTCTCGTGCTTGCTTTTTCCACTTGGCTTGCAGCCATGGAACTGTACTTCAGCACAGGCAGAGCTACGGGAGTGCTTATTCTTGGGCACGTTGTCCTATCCTTCTTCAGGGAAGGTGGGAAAGAAATGGGTTTGCTAGAGAAGCATAGGCCCCACTGCCTAAGAGCAAGCAGGATGAGTGCGCCTGAAATTTAAGTTTGTGCTCTGTATTACTGGAAAGGTTCAGCACAGTGGGAGTCTGGCCCAGGTAACTCCTACCATGCCAGAGAGCCTGTGCTTTGGCCAGCCCTTTGTCCATGTGAGAGATGTTGCCTGACCAAGGCCAACTTGACAGGATGTATTGACCAACTAGATCAGAGAAGAGAAAGCCTCCTTTTCCTCCCTTCTGTGTGCTTCTCCAAAAATGAGAGGAAAACAGGTTAAAATCAGGATGGTGAAAGAGTGATGAGTAATTTCTAGACACTGAAGAATAACTTTAGCTGAGTGCTTTCTGTGTTTGTTTGAGAGTCATAAATGGACCGTATTTCAGATAAATTACAATTCTATTCTGATCCACTTTCCATTTAGAAGTCTGTGTGGGGCATATATTCTTGAACGACAAGTCCAAACCCTGGCTCACAACCAAACTTCAGGCTGACTCGGAGGAAGAGGTAGCACAGCACTACCTAGATGGAACGGCCAGATCAACTAGGCACACTTAAAAGTGCTGGCTGAATTCCTCTCGTAGCACCTGTCGCATTTGCATGTCTCTACTGAACTTGGAGAAAGAGCATAAATACTTCTTGGTACCTGTTCAGGTGCTGCCTATGTGAGAGCTTGATTCCTTTTGAAGATTGTTCTTCTGTTCTGCCGTTTTCAAGGAACACACTGGCTCACAAGCTTCTTGCAAATCAAGAAGACCTTCTTGTCCTGTGTTTTTCACTGAAGAGTCTCTTTAGAGATTTTGAACTTGGCAGGAGTTTGTACTTACTGTTACCAGCCCTTTCTTTGCTAGCCAGTAACCTACTCTGCCATTACTAGCTCTTCTTGCATGCTGTGCCGTGCCTCTGTGCTCTTAGCGCCCCTCTTAAACTTCATGGAAGTTGCTGAAAAACGTTTTGTTGTTCTGAAGAAATAGGAAGTATTGAGATTTTGCTCTGAAGTAGAGGTGCCAGATGACACGTTACTATTTCTAATGACGATGGAAAAATCATTTGCCATGTGTTGTAAATCTTTTTTGTGTTACTCCAGGGGTGGGATGCTATTGAGTGGATAATTCAAAATTCTGAAAGCGCTCTAAGCTAGCAGTTCTCCACATCTACAGTTTGTACTAACTAGTGGTAATGCCAGCATTCTTCTTCTTGGTACAGCATTTCAGCTTTCTAGCAAATACTGCATGGATTGTTGTCACGTGAATTTCATAAATTAACCTGCATGTATGTTTTATATACATTGCATACAGGAATGGCAAACATGTTCATTACACTGCAGTTGTAGAGAGTGAGAGTAGGTCAGGTCTAGACTGGGTCAATTAACCCGTGCTTACACCACTGGACAGCCAGCTTGCTGTAGCCATGTCTTGTGCCACGTGTTACCGCTTATGGTTTGAAAGTGGACTGAGGACTGCAGATAAGTAGGCATGTGAATGAGTCCCTCTTCCAAGTGTTTGATCTGCTCCTGGTTTCTGTGATTTCAGTATGTAAAACTAGTACCTGAAGAAATTAATAAATTGGTTGATGACTGGAATTGGCCTTACAAAAATGAAATGGAATTGTACTCTTAGGGTATAAAATTGATTTCTTGAAACAGATTGCCTAACGGGTGATCTTTTGCATTGTGAAATTGTATTTGCTTTTCTTATGCCTTAGGAATATTGTTGCCCTTTTTTGAACTTCTGTGGAAATCTGTACAAAGCTCGAAGCTGTCAGCCTGTCTGTGTTTTTCATTGTTCTTGTAGTTACATTCATTTTGGTAGTGACGTGTCCCTTAACCAACATGACTATAAAAACATCTGACTGCAGGGTTGAGAGAACTGAGTGTACTTGTCTCTGTGATACCTCTGTGCAGATTGTTTTGCTTCCACTAGTCAGTGTAGCCTGCCTCTGTCATTCCTGTATCAGCTTATGCTTCAACTAATAAGATACCTTAAAAAAAAGAAAAAATGCCACTATGCTGCTTCTCCTAGTTAAGAATGTAGGGGTTTTTTACACTGCTTACTTTGAGATCGGCATATGCCATGAGCGTTTGCTTTTATGTTCTCATTCCACTGAGCTTTTATGGCTGTTTTTCTGGAAAATGTCAACTACAAAGGCTCAGCATTTATCAGTCACTTAAGCTCTACCAACAAATCTTCATATGCAGCGTTTGGTCTGCCAAACACATCATACTGCTAACATATGCAATAAAGGCTAATATAATATGCATGCTCGGTTATGAATGTGCTTGCTTAATGACTTACTACTGAATTTATTGTACAGTATGAAATTTTATAGACCAATCCTCTGTCAGATTTTTTTTTTTTGGTAACTGGGTAGTTCTACAGTACTTGGAGGCTTTGCATCTGGTTAAGATTTTGTAACTTAATTTTCTGTGCAGAATATTCCTGAAATCTTCCTTGCCAATATCATGAGTTTATTCTTAGCTGCAAAGTACAGCATATAGTATATGCAGGCCTAAGGAAATGTGCAGACCTATGTAGTCTCAAAAGCTGAAGGAAATACCTTGGTGCTCCACTTGAATGTCATGGATATTTTTTTTCTTGATTTTATCTTATCAACAAATATATCGGTTAAAACACTATGACCTGGTTGTTTCATAGTCAGGGCCTGAAAAGAATCTCAATATTTTTCTACTGAGCATTTTCTACATCAAAGGTGTTTGACTTTCTGACAAGTCTTCTTTGTGCAATTAGACAAATGTAACATCGAAGCTGTTGCTGTCTTACTGACTTCTCTGTGCCTGTGTCACCTAAGAGAGGACATTTTAACCTGACTTTTAAATATCCGAACGCATGCTTACTGAAAGATGATTCCCCCTCTCTCCCCCCACTTTGTTCCTTACGGAGCACTCTACTCAGCTAGTTCATGGCTAGTTACAACTTGTTGCTACGCAGTAGCCTACTCCTGTTATATCTGTGCTTTGCTGGTGTTCCCAGGTCATGCACAGGATGTAGAAATAGTGGAAGTTCTGGCCTGGTGAAGCATGGTCGATTTGGTGCTCAAATGGAAAGAACTCAGAAGTTAAATCTTATTCTTCTACAGACTTTTTTAGCAACCCATACCTAAACTGGACAGTTTAAATCATGTTTCCTTGATTATTGTCGGTATTTTTTAAAGGCATATCTTGAGCTAAGTTAACATAAAGGTAATTCTGGATAGGGCTGAATCCCCCTTTCTGAGCTCTGGCCAAGAGCTGAACACTTTGTTGTGATACATGGATAATTTTTCTCAGGACTGTCTGCCAGTGCAGACATAGCAATTAGTGTTTATTCTGTGACTCCCTGTAATACGAAAAACCTGAAGAGAAACAGAGTCAGCCTTTCACTGAACTTAGTGAGGGTCTTGAGAGAAATATGCTTATTCATGGTAAAACTTTATTTGGTTTAATAGGTTTCACCTTGCAGCCTGGAACTGGGCTTTTAATATTATTCCAAAGTAATGTTTCTAGCTTCCAAAAAAAATCTTCAAGAGTATGTGTGGGTTTTGTTTTCACCTTTTTTTTTTTAGGTTTTCAAATTTGCTTTTGCAGGTTCTTGTTCATGCTTAGTGGTTTATAAAGGACAACAGCAGGTTCTGGACACTTTAAGAGGTTTTTTTCACTTTATCACCTATTATGCATGCGACAATAATAGTACATCAGCGTTCAGAACAACTCTGTGTGTGTGTGGTGGGCTGTTCCCCCCTTTCCCTCAATCTCTGCAGAGGGCTTGAACACTGACACTGTCTCTCCTGAAGACCTAGGACTGTTTGGGCGCAGACCCTTTATCTCCAGAACTGCTCTAGGCTTGGCCAGAGCTATGTGTCTCCCAGCTACTGCTCTCCACTGTTTGTACTTCTTATTCTTAGGAGGGTAATTGAGGTGAATGTCTCTTTGGCTTCTCTTTAAGTGAAAAAAGGCCAGGTGTTTTCCTGGTCTGATCCCATCTGCTTGTTTTGGCAAAAGCTGTCATTCTGAGATTGTGGAGCTCTAAAATCTTGAGCTTTTGTTTAGTGAAAGTGCTTATCTTTATTTTCTTGGCTTCATTGTGCGCCTGGCTTGTGCTCATCTTGTGGTCATCGGGGTGCAGCTGCTACAGGGTCTTGTTAAGGTAAAAGATTTTTGACGTGCTTATTTTGCTGGATTCCCCAGCTCTTACTAAGGCATTAGCTGTCAATGCCTAGCTTTGAGGCTTTCCCATTCTGAGAAGTGAACAGAAAAACACCGTACCTTGATGTAAAATGTGTGACTGTAGTCTCTCAATTAGCCTGCTGTATATGCTGAAAAGTTGCTGTGCATGAATATAGAATGCAGTGTGAGTCCATCTCTGAACTCTGCTAGATATCAGATCAGTAAGTTGCTACTTCAAAGAGCAGTAGGATGACTGTCTGTCTTTGTCCTGGATCTTCTCAAAAACTGTCCATATAACTTGGTTGACGAATCTGAGAACAGTATCTAGACTTTGCCATAAATTTGCTGATACCCTTTGGGTGGTGGGAGCAGCAAACAGTAAAACCAGCAATACTCTTACATAAAGGAACTTAACTGCTGAATTAGGCTCTTTGCCTAGGTGCGCTACTGGGAGCTCACACCAACATTGTATTTACTTCTTGCTTATGGATTAAGCAAACGCCTTTGCAGTGGAGTTTCCGTAAGAAGGTGCTAAGAAATTATCAATATAATCTGGTATCAAACTATGCAGGGCATGAAATTAATTTTAAAACAAATCTCATGTCTGACAGAGGAAAAACTATAGAAACATGACCAGTGGTGGTGTGTCTGTTCTGATCCTAAATTCCAGTATTTTCCTGGCAGGGTCGGGATGCCCTGGAGTGGGTGATCAGCAAACTAAACACCGAATTGGAGGAGCTGAAGTCAACACGTGAGGGTGTGAAACCAGCCATGGCAGCAGCGTCAACAGAAAAATAAAACCAAAAATGCCAAGTAACTGCCAGAAAAGTTTTATTCTGCAGACTGCTTTGTAGATCTCCCTTCCAAGGCTGATCTGCAGAGGTTTTATATGTTTATAAGAATATTCGATCAGCGGAAAAGTAACCTCACCTGTCATCTCCACAGCAGCTCCTGTTGCCTACTGAAGATTAAATTGACCTCCTGCAGATCCTCTTTTCATTTAAACAGTTGATTTTTAACACTGGAAACAAAACATTTAGCACATTTAAAACTGCCTAAATGTGCCTTTTATCACAAAGATAGAGAGTATGATGTATTTACACCATCTCGACTTTTCGTACTCAAACTTGAAAAGAATGCATGTGCGGTATTGAGGGTTTTCCATGTGAACATTTGTTCTGTGAGGGGCTGGTAGGTACTAGAGCACTGAATTTTGTCTGTTTTATAATCTGGTAGTGTCTTGTGACCATTTAAAGGGAACTACATGAGTCAGAACATGTTACTGTAGAATTAGATACCTATCTAGAGGATCATCCTGAAAAGCTAAAACTTGTGCGGTACTAACTTTTCTCATGTTGTTTAAATGTGCTGCCTGAACATGACACACAGATACTTTACCTCTTAGATGTTTGTATCCAAACAAAGATAAAGTTTCTATTGATGTTAATAGCCTAAAACAGTTTTTTGGTGGGGAGAAGGGTATAATTTATTTTCATATTTATTAACTTGCCCTAGTTCCTCCCTTCCCTATGAGGAGAGAGTAGGAATTCCTGGAAGGTGCTGGAAAATAGTTCTCTTATGTATCTCTAAGAAGGGTACTTGCAGGCTACTTGAATGAAGAGACTGTGCTGTTCCACTGGTCCTTGCTCTTCACATCATGTCTTAACTGAGGGAGAGACTGATGCAATAGCCGGAAGAGTTGAAATGAGAAATAAGGAGGATATCTGCAATCCAAATGGTAAGGTTTCATGGACATGTACTTTTCACACACTGAATGGAGAAAACGAAGAGTACAAGAACAACAAATGGACTCTCCTTTTTGAGTGCTTTCTGTTAACTACTGACTACCGGTGTAACTGATTTTTTTTCAACACTTTTCCACATTGGTACAAAATGGTTTTAGGATCATCTTAAATGCTTCTCATTACCTGGAAAAATACTCCAGAACTGCAGAACTTGTTTCCTATGAAATGTGTATAAATATATATTGGTAACAGTCCCAGCCTTGTCTGATGTTCACACAACTTTCATATTTGGTCCAGGTGTAGTATATGTTTTTTAGACAGCCCTCTGTTAGGGCATTTTAACTTAATTTTTTGGTGTGCACGCAAAGTGAAATAAATGTTGCAAGGATGCTTACTCATTCAAGTGGCAAGCATGTGTTAGGAAGCTGTTAAAGAGCATGAGTAACTTCTAAAAAGACTAGAAGAGTAAAATGTCAGTCACTGTTTTGATCTGTAATTTTAAAGTGTCTGTAGCTTAAGGGAAATTTCAGCATTCGTATTCTGGTTAGTTTGAAAGTGAACGTGAATTTGGGTGTAACTGTAGTCTTACTAAATTACATGATCCTAATGAATAAACTTAATTTAAACATAAATATATAGCTATATAGTAGTCAAAAGCAATTCAATGACTACCTAATATTTACATTATTCTTCTTATATGGACCTAAAGCCTTTCTTATTTCAGAACAGAAACTTAGAGCTTAAAGACTGATAGTAGCTCCTTTCCAGAAGATAACGCTGGAGAGCTTTGGTGCAGGTCGGTTGTTGTGCTTCTCAGAGGAATTGATGCCACTGCCTGGATGAAGACGGTAGATGTTGTAGCTCCTGGTGGCGTTCTGCTGGGAAGGGGAGTGCAGCTGTGGCAGAGCTCTGCAAATGAAAGGAAAAGATGAGTAAGTGTGTGTGTGTGCACGTGGAAACCTGTACTACAGTATTTCCATATGTGCTTACAGGAGATGATGAAAATATAACTGTCGGGGAGGTAGGCAAGTCTTTGGAGAGGTTCATGTATTGCTTCAGTTTGGAAGAAGAATTGTCTAAAGCTGCTTCTTGCATCGGGTTTGAAATAATTGCTTAGTGTTGTCTTAAACCAACTGGCTTGTGCTTAGCACCCTCCAGCACTAGCTAAAAGTCACCACAGGCTCCTGTATTCTGTCGAGGGCTGAACAACTCTGCTGCACCTTAGGGTCAATGCCAGTTATGCAACAGTTTTCTGGATTACTTTCTTTGCACTTTTGTTTCCTTCTTCCAGAAACAAATCCTTACCTCCTTGTGTTGTAGCATCTCATTCCTGTTTCATTCCCAGCTGGTTTTGGGCTGCTTCCTCTCTACATTTCATGCTACCTGGGAACTATGTGGCCAGATGCTTGGCTTTCCAACCTGTCTGCTGCTCCACTTGCTGTGAATCAGCACCTTGCCTGCTTGTGCTCAGTTCTCTTCTGCTTTTCTCCAGGCTAAAAGGGAGTGGGGAAGCTTTGGGTAGGAAAAAGGCTAATTTCTTCCAGAGGCCCGTTCCGTCACGCAGCTGCCTCTCTCCGCGGCCAGAGGGTGCTGCTGCTTCTCACCCTGTCTTTGGGGTAGGTGACGCTCCTGCACCTGCGGGCTTACTGATCTTCCTGTGGTTGCTCATTTTGCCAGTGTGTGCGAAGGACCTTGCAGGCAGTGGTCACACTGGGATCAAGGAGGCTCCAGTGTGTAGCAGATGAAGTGATTCTTAGTTTCCCATAAGCTTTCCTGGACGCTTTCACTCCTCTGTTTTCTGTCCATCTGGTTTGGGCACAGGGCTCCCACCCTTCTTCTTTGACCATGTGACTTCTCCGTGGGCTCTGGTGGGATCTGTAGCTCTGTGGTCAGCCCTGCTGTGTGTAACGCTGCTTTTGAAGCAGTCTGTTTCTCACTACAGTTCTGTCACAGTTACGGTCTGAGGTGACCCTTGGGGCAAAAAAAACCCCTACTTTTGGAATCACTTATCATAGAATCATAGAATGTTTTGGGTTGGAAGGGACCTTTAGAGGTCATCTAGTCCATCTTATCTTGGTCCTTTCCTAGGGAAACTCCCCATCTATTCTTTACTTACTGGAAATGGCTAAAAAATATTTCTGAAGTCAATTTTTTGTCTTGAGCACTGATTGAGGTGTTGGTCAAAGACAGAAAGCCACATGTGAGTGAAAGCACTAGGCTGATTGCAGGGGCAGGGGGCACGTAGCTTTTTGGATTGGTGCAGAAACAGCTGAGAATGTAGGAGGAAAAAAGAATTTCTAAAGCAGAGATGGCATTAAGTCAACGCATATTAACTCGGAAGGAGCTTGAAGCATGGGGACGAAACAAAAGCAAGCTCAGCGCTTGTAACCATGCTGATTAATGGGTAGCAAGTGCCATTTTGAGTAAGAATTCTGCACTTTCAGAGGTGAAAACAGAACTGCAATAGAGTTTTTGTGTGTTGAGGGAGGGAGGTTGTTTGCTGCTGCTGTTCAAGCCACTGAGGCCCGCAGTTCAGCATTTCTCAGCCCTTAGGTTGCAATTCAAGCAAAAGGGAGTTGGGGGCGTGTGTGTAGGGAGGTGGTTTGGTTTTTAAGAGTTCAGTGCCAGCGTATCAGGTCTCCAGCGTGGTTAGCAGCGTGGCTGCTCACCCTGCCCAGTAACTACGGCTGCGTTGCACACGCCTGCTGTGGAAGGGTGACGCTGGGGAGAGCAGGTTCCTGGCTGTGGGGGAAACGGTGAGGGAAGCCAGCAGCGGTGCTTCCCAGAGCTTGGCAACCTGGGTGCATTAGCACTTGGCCCTGAAGGATTTTAAGATGTTGAAGATAGGAAACTTGAGGTAAACACTGGTTTCTGGCTGGTGTGTGGTTTTCATGCTAGCACAGGCAGGCTCGTGTTAGCCACAAACGGCATTAACTTAAAACAGGCTCATCAAATGGTCTGGCCTGCAAGCAGTTTTGTGTAGACTATAATTTCTTTTTTTCTTTTTTTCCCTGACTTGCCCTTGTGCCAGTGTGTGTCCTCTGTGCTCCCCCATACTCCTTGTTCCCCCCCCCTCACCGCCCCAGGTCAGCAGGCACAACGGGGGAAGGGTCGTATTTGCTGGGAAAAGGGGCAATCCTAGGGTCATTCGCTTGCAGTATTCTTGAAAGACTTGCTTAGCGCAAGTAAAGGCACTGAACTGCAGCAAGCAGCATGTATCAGGAATTGATGTATAGCCTATATCAGGCATTGATGTATGTGATGGTGTAAGTAAGCAGCACTGAGTAAGATGGCCAGTGACATTCCTTGATGTGACACTTTTCATTTAAAGCTTCAGGTGGAGCAGTGCGTAACATCCTTCCTGTTCTTGCATCTTCCTAGATTGTAAGCTGTGAAGGGCAGGACTCTGTAAAGTGTCTACGTACACTATGGTGCTATCTTAAATAAATGACATCCTCAGTTTAAAAAAAAAACAAACCACTTCTGGGTGTAACTGCTGTAATATGAAATGGGCTGTTGGTTTTCAGCAAAAGCTGCAGAAAAATTATTTGCATTAAGTCAGTGCTGGGTAAGCTGTAAGCCACGCGTCGTACGGGTCAAAAGCCCTGGCCGGGGTCCTCTGTGCCTGAGCTGGTAACTTCGTTTGGGTCTGGCAGCTGCTTCGTTTATGCAATGAAACAGGAAAGAGTCATCTACAACGATTAGCCTTGACTTGTAACTAAGACTTTATCTAGCTCATAAAACTGGCTTCCTACCCCCCCCTACTGCTTGCCACCGGTCGGAACCATGCAGGTTATGGGCCAGCCTTTAAGCGCAGCCCCAGGAAGCAGGTTGTGCTTTTGCTATGAATTTGTTCAACAAAAAGGCATTTTTTTGTGAAGGACAAGCCTGTCCTCTCAATTTTTCCACAGCTGAGGTGACTGAAGTACAATTCTCATTTTATTGAAGGCACCCACAAGTAAAATCACCAGCATTAAAATCCTCAGCTGGGGCCCTGCTGCTGTAATACTTCTCCTTGTTACTCTGCTGTAATTCTGTTTCTAATAAGGGTCAGGGCTCTACCTGTGCTGTGTCAGAAATTACGCTCGCTGCCTTTACAGTCAGCTCAAGAAAGCGAGAGCAACGCAATGTCCTTTGTAAAGAACTTTTTATTAGTAACGCATATACCAGAAATTGCATTTCAGTACCACATAACATGAAAACAAGCAGAAGACAAATCTATTGCCGTTCTCTGTTAGAGCTGATGCCCCGGGTGTGCCTGAAGCCGCACAGACGGTACATGCGCAGTGACAGCACAGATGCAGGAGACCTTTGGGGGGGGGGTTGTGCTTTGGGCCTGTTAATGTCCAAAAAGTGCATCTCCTGTTTGGGATTTTCTTTTATTATTTTTTTCCTTTATTAAAGGGGGTAGTTGGGGAGGGGGAACCAGCTTTAACAGAAATACAGCTCAAAGACACTCCTCGTCGTAGCTTTGTTTTGCTTTCTAATTGGCAGGTCACGTCATCACCAGCCCCTTCAATAGAAATGTGCCTGTGTAAACATCTGAGCCAAAGCTGGGCCTCGGCCTCTACCTGCCTAAGCTGGGCTGCGAGAGTGCAGCCTCTCCGCCTATAGGCCTCCGCTTAACTGGGGCTGATCTCCACCAAAGCGGGGAAGCCAACCTACTGCAGAAGGTGCATCAACTCATGCCCAGGTCCTTTCATTCTAGATTCAGCAGCCCCTGAAAGCCAATTTAACGATCCCACGCTGTGATGCTTGGCCTACAGCCTGTCCTGCAGAAGCCAAAGCATTGCCGCCTCCCACTGTTAAGCACCGACGTGACTCTGGTTGGGGAAATGCAAGGAGAACCCATAACTTAATGTAAACGCTGCAACTGCCTGGCAGGCACCAAAAATGTATTTTTTCATACTGGACGCTTACCTTTTTTGCACTTGCAGGGTTTTTTTTTAATTAAATGGGTTACTAATCAGACAGTTTTTTTCCAGCTGTGACTGTACATTAAGTAGCCTGGCACCTCAGAAGACTGTCTACTTAAGAATGTATTTTTGTATTAGCTCTAGGAAGGCCTATTCCAAACGGCTTCCTCTAGAACTGTTCCACACAAACCATCTCCATGACCTTTGCAGACTGCAGCGGTTTCTGAAGTTCTTTCAGGCCGCAGCGCCCAGGCTACCCCTGTCTCTGGCACTCTGGTCAGCCAGGCGCTGCCACTGCCCAACAGCCCGACCAGAGAAGAAACTGAAGAGTTGCTGCATTGCACTTTAGTGCAAATAAACAAGCAAAGCTACCGCCACGTAAAATTTGCTGTGTCTATTTGGTGACTATGTAGCTCCACCTCCTGCTTATGCCCCAAGACATTCCTTGAGCGTGGACTACCACAGTAAAATTCATTCACAAATCTTTGCTTGTCAAAGCATTGTCAAGTTTCAACCGTCTGGAATTCAAGTGGTGCCAATTGCTTTCAAGTACTGAAAGCTGATGGGACTTCGCAGCGCGCAGGATCCCATCAGCTCGGACACCGAGCATATCTTTATCAGCACCTCTCGGAAGTCGTTAAGCAGTTGCAGCCACTCCCTAGTCCCTGTTTTGGCAGACAGCGACCCTGGGGCACGGCACGGCTCACAGTTTGTGCCAGGTAACCTGCGCCCCAAGAGCAGCTCCGGGATTTTCCAATGCCAAGCCGAGAACGCAGGGCGGGCTGTGGAGCTTGCGGGCGAGCTGCCACGAGGACAGCGCTCATGAACTTAGGCTTACGTGTCAGGAAACGGGTTCCGTGTCTCTATCACGTCAGACTGAGCTCACGCCCCTCTCTGCTGGTTTTCCTACCAGCAAATTTTGGTGAGTAGTAATTTCAGGTGCGCAAAAAGTCTGAAACACCGAAGTAAAAATCAGACAGAAACAATAAAACAGATCTTTATAGCTGGAATTGATATTCATAAACAGTCTCAGATTGGCCTTAAGATACATACATACAAAAGGAAGAAATAAACCAGAGCAGCTCCAAGTTACCAACATGGAAATACTGTAAAATGTTACGGTACCATTAACGTAATCCATAGGCTGTAGCACCAGAGCGTACAGTCGCAGCACCTTTCCCTCATGCCTGTGTGCTGTCACTGTTTCACAGATGAGACTGAGCTCGTGAGAAAGACATTCCTAAAAGATGTACAGAGAGCTGCTAGATGAGGTAAAGCACGAAGGCAGCAATCGGGAGTCTAAAGTTGGAGCTTTTGAATTAGTTTTAAACTATACAGCGTGCAGCCAGTAACTAACCGTGGAAGCTGATGCTGAACTCGCCTGGGGAAAAAGGGGAGCTTGAAAGAGAAGAGAGAACAACATAACGGTCGTGATAAACACGTTCTCTCCGCTTCTGGTTTAAAAAACAACCACTCAAAAACCTCTCCGAAAGACTGCCAGCACTTCACCCCCAAAGATGAGGGCGGAGATTTCCCAAAGGCTGTACAACATGCAGGACGAGCGCGCCTCAGCTACAGCCCGTCCGTGTTGGAAGTAGGGACGTGCTGGTAACAGAGGGGGTTGGCTGGAAACGGTGACTAGGTCCTCATCACGTCACTGGGGTGACACAAGCAGTTTTATTGCTATTCTAGGAGTACTTTGACACGTTTTCCATCCCTTCATGCAGCCCAGCCAGCGTTCAGCAATATCAATTCAACCATTTTCATTAACAATTCTTTGCCATAAGAAACAATTTGACTGATCTTACGAAACTATAAAAGCGTAAAAAAGGAGAGGGACGGAACCTTTACATCTGCTTCCACGTGAATAAGTAACACGGACAAGGGCTATAACGGAAAGGCATTTTATTTCCGCCAGGCAACGCCCCTCCCTGTGGAAAGGAAGTAACGGGGAAGGGGGAAAACCCAACAACCCCCCAAAGCGCCGCTGTCACCATCAGCATTTGAAAGGTCAGGTTTGAGAGCTGCAGCAAAGGCCTGCTCGCGCCCGCCATCCCCGCCGCGAGGCAGAGCTGGTTTTGAAATCTCTACAACCAGGTTCACATACAAACCAACAAGACCGAGGCTGCCAGTGGCATTTTTAACTCCTTGGGTCTCCTACGATAGATTTAAACAGACCTTGGGCATATTAATAAAGCTAAAGAGAAATGAAAATATTTTTTAAATTCATGGAAGGGAGCTCACTGTGCTAGTCCCGCGTTCTTTTCAGCAGTAATTCGCTCTAAAATGCCTACGGAGTGCAAACTGTATTAGGGGGCTGGAAGCGTTAACTCTAATAAAGGTAACAGCCAACACACATATAAGTAAGACTCATTTCCTTTTGAAAACATCAAGGGAAAGACAATTCCCATTGCATGATTGATGGAGACTTCCTAAATATTAATAAATATATTACACATATTTACAAGCTTCTGATTTCACCCTCTGATGCTAACGTGAAGATCAGACCGTGAAGAGGACATGCGGGGCAGCACCGCGGGGTAGGCAGGCAAATGGCTGCAGTGGATTTGGGATGCTAGCGCAAGCGGCGAGATGGAAAGCTAAAAATAGGCTGCTCTGCGGCGACGCAGGCAAGCAGCGAGCTGAGCTCCTGCAGGCTCTGTGCGAGGAACCAACCCACCGCTGCTGCTTCTGCGGAATGAAATGCCAGGACGATGCGGAGCAGCTCTGGCGGCAGAGAGGAAGGGATGGGAGGGAAGGGGGGAGGCAGCCCTCCACACCATGTTTTCTGGAGCCTGCCGCAGCGTGTGTCAGCAGCCCAAAGGGGTTTATTTTTCCCGGGGAAAAAGAGAGGTTATCCAGGCCCTGCCCCACGGCAGCTCTGCGTGAGCAGCACGGAGCAGTTTGTACATCGGCTGCGTTGGGATTTGGGGTTTGCGCCCTGCCCAGCACATCAGAGCCTGGCCCGAGCCAAGGGCGTGTGGGCATTCCCAGGAAGGCAAAGGCTGGATCACCAGGTGCCGCTGCTTCCCCAAAGCCACCCCGGACGTTGCTAAGGTGGAGGGGGGCACAGGCGTGCCGTGAGGGACTCATTTTCCTTCGCACACTCAGGATTTACTTAGTCCTTGATCCTGCCTGTTCTGCAATGTCCTACATCCCTCTGGAGGGGGAAAATAAATGGGCTGGATACCCTGCACCTCAGCGCCTTGGGGATGCCAGGGAAGAGGACTGCGAGCAGAGGACTGAGCGATTGTAACGCGTGGCTGGGGCGCTTCCAGGAGGAAATGATAAGACCAACAACAGGGGAGATGCAAAGTGAGATTCCCTGCATTTCTTTCAGCCGAGTTTTCCTGATGCACTGTGCAGCAAACACACGGCCTGGTTTTGGCACAGAAACAAGAAAAAGTGCTGATGTGACTGAGATCAGGTAACCCTTCCAGCAACAGCAGACCTCTCAAATGGGCCTGTCTGGCACTGCTCCCCTCCCGCAATCCGACATCCTCATCTCATGCCAGCACTCCAGGTGCTTTAACGTGCAAGACACTTTTCCAGGGGAAGCCTGAGGAGAGGGCCGGGACAGCTGACCTTACCCAGGACAGCTAAGAGGGAGAGTTAGCCTTGAGCCCTGCTTTGCCTCTTCGCATCGGTTCAGAAAAAATTAAAAACATTATTTCAATAAGCCCTGCATATGCAAAAGATCTCATTTTCCAAGGGGGCTTTTAAAGAAAAATAAGGATGAATGAATGCCTCAGGAGGTTTAAGGAGACTTTTGCCTGCGCTTTTCAAATCAACTTAAAAGCTATGATATGAGCGGCTGCTCTGAAGGCTGCAATGTAACACCCAAATACGCTTTGAAGGGGAAGCCTTGCACCCCCGGGCAGCAGGAGGCAGCCCACAGTGGGACTGGAGCCCAGCTACCACATGGGAGCCAACCACCCCCGGTGCCCCCAGCCTCTGCACCGTGCCTGGCCAGGGCTGGCAGGGCAGTCTGCCTTCTCTTGGGCTTTTCCATGCATGAGATTTGGATGGGAGAACCTGGTTTGATTAATAAGTCTTTAAAATCATGTTTCAGAAGTCCAGTCCCAGCTACTTTGGAGCAATTCTGAGGTATCTCTCATTAATCCGAAGTATAGAAATGTTAATAAATAGATCTGAAACTTTTCTGCTATGTCACTCTATAATACACTGCTATATAGATATTAAATATGCCTCAGGGTATTAAAAAATTTATGAAAAAGTTACAGTAGTTGATTTTCAAGTATTAATAACTTGGCTATGTTAGCTTGTTTTTAAATACCAAAATGATCTGGCCCCAGATTATTGACTAAACTCTGGCTATGCTTGAATTTAAAAGAGCATTCTGAATATAAAAAAAAAAAGTGCAAAAAAGCATGAGATGCAGTTAACATTGTAACATTGTTGGAGCTTCTAGACAACCGGTCTAGCACTCTTTCGTGAGCAAATTAAAAAGGGAAAAAGAATGAAAAGAGGTAAAAGAAAAAAAAAGAGAGAGATTGCTCCCAATCTGAGACAGCACTGTCCCAAATTTCAGCAGAACACGAATTTTTACAGCCAAGTTATAAACCCCAGAAAAAATGGGGTTATCAGTGGATATGCTGTCAGACATAACTATAGCAGTATTTGTGTGCTCCACTATAATACAAATGTACACCTTACCCACCGTTTTCTCTGAGTAACCACGGGAACAACTTTACAGGTATTGAGTTAAAATTAGAAGCCTCCCTTATTTCCCATCCTCCCCATAAACTGTACAACTCTCTCTACTACTAAAATTCACTGCTATGAGTTGTCATCATCATACATTCAACATAGAAAGTAAACTGCTAAAACCTGCTCAGGAGATGCTTAGAAGTACCACTAAGGCTTAAAAAGTACAGCGGCTCAGGGGAACGGCCAACCACACGGGCAAAGAGCTTCGCCACGTATTTTGCCCTAGGACACGGACGTTGTCAAGGCCCGTGCTCAACCCTGATCTCAGAGCAACCGAAACAGTGTGAAGAAAGATGGTTTTGACCACGGTTGCTCACAGGCGGTGTCTGGTGGGCGATACGACCCTTCGCTGTTGCCACGAGGACGTGAGCATTACTGGGGGGGTAACGCCAATATGACTCACTGTTTGCTGCCGTGCTAACGCTGACACTCTGTTAGATTTGGTTCTCCATGAAACATACGTTTTTCAGCTCATCCCCTAAAAAATGATTCAAAGCATGGTTAAAAAAAAAAAAAAAAAGATTGAAAGCAAGAAAAGGCTTTCTACTTTCAACGCACATATAGAAAAGAGGCAACAATTTCAAACTACTGATTCTCTTCCAGTGTGAGCAGCTGACCCGTTGCCCATCATTCTACACAGATCTAAACACAGCGTTCTGTTCTGGGAACCACTGGAGTACGAAATCCTGTGATCTAACGCAAATTCAAGCCAATCGAGCGAAATGAAGCAACGGAATGACAATCCAGTTTCAGTGACCTTGCTCATGGATGGCGACCTCATGAAGACAAAAGCAAAGAAAAAGGCACAAGGCTCAGATCTCATTGATAGTCCTTTCAGAGGGGCAGTATTCAGAGGTTCCCGGCGACGACATGTAGAAGGACTGCGTTTTCCTTTTTAACCTGGCTCGCTTGTTGGCCAGAGATAGGCTGCGCCGGCTCGAATTGATGATTTCTGAAATAAACTTCTTGCAGTCCACGCACACCTCCATCGTGCTCCAGTCCTCCATTAACTCTTTGGGAAACTCCTCCTGTGACTTGTCCACAGATTTGGACCTTGAGGTCAACCTGAAAAGCAAAAGAGCAGGACCTGTCACATTACTTAGCAGCATGGCAGGGGGCCCCAAGGGACGCCTTCAGGAAAGAGCACATCAGATTGGTCTTGATTCAAATCTTCCTTTTTCCCGTCCCAAAAATGACACCAGGAGACCACACACTGGAGAGGACAGCTTCTACCTATACTAGATCATCTATACCTAGATGATGCATTTGGCTAATCTGACACAGCCTCATAGCACTAGTGATTTATGCAGAGGGTTTATACTGTACATCCCCTCAACAAGGAGCACTTCTTTTAATTTCTTGGATTAGCTTTGAAAACCATCTGTGTGTAAGATACAAACCAGTAGATAACTTCATAACATCAAAGTGAAAAAAAAAATAGTGAAAATTAGAAAAATGGGGGGGGGGGAAGGAAGATAAATCTGTGCAAGACATCATTGAATTCCCATTTCCCATTCAGTGAGTGATTCTAGCCTGCGAGATTTATCTCCAGAGAGTCTATTCACACTAGAAAAAGACATGCTAAGGATATTTTTGCAGAGATGCTATGGAAATACAGTTGTCCCAGACTCACATTATTTTTCAGCTGTAATGTGAAAAAGGTTTAAGACACGCTGTTAGTATTGCTATTTCTGTAAATCAAAGCAATGAGCAGAAGAGATACGGATTTTCAGGCTTCAGAAAAGTTACTACAAGCATTAGAAATGCTGACGACTACAAAATGGGTAGACAGTAATTAATGACTGATAGCTCACGAGGAAACGGAAACCTATAAGAAGCATTTCCAACAGACACATGCAAGTTCGGGCTGCTTCTCACCTGGACATGCTCCGCAGCGATCGGTGGTGACTGGTAGAGGGTTTCTCTGGCCTCATAAAACTTTCTCCTCTTTGCAAGGTTGAAGGTCCCAGTGAGAAGATGGGGAGAGTAGAATATGGCTTTGATGGCAACCGCATCTGTTGTGAGAATAGCAGAAGGCACATGCAGTATCAATACAAAAATTACAGCTTTTTAGAAAGGGTCGAACCGTAAGTTTGTTTACTTACTTTTTTGCAGCACTGTGAGCATACAGGCCTGTGTAAGAAAGCAAGAGCATGAGTAATTTCATTGGGCAAAATTACATTTAAAGCAAGAATAAGGGATAAATGTTTTCAGGAGTTAGAATCCTCCCCCATCCTCCCCTTAAACAATTTTATTTTTAAAGTTGCTTCAACTTAATAGCCTCAATCAGAATATGAAGCCAAAAGCACGGAGAAATGCTAAACAAGAGCTACAGCTAAATTAAAAAAAAAAACAGAAAAAACCCCCAAAGCTGTTTTTCCTCTAAAGAAACCTCCTTTGTTAAGTGACACAATAAGCTAGTGATTCCATGCATCTCCAGACTTACTGTCTCACTGTTCAACTTAAAATTTTTCATTTTGCCATCAGATGATTCCTTTCCCTTCTCCACTTATGAGTACTCCAAAAATAATCCAAAAGGTAAATTGCCTTGAAATGTTTATGTTGGGGAGGTTTAGATTGGACTTTAGGAAACATTTTTTCAATGAAAGGGTTGTCAAGCATTGGAATGGGCCACCCAGGGAAGTGGTGGAGTCCCCACTCCTGGAGGTATTTAAAAGATGGGTAGAGGAGGTGCTTAGGGACATGGTTTAGTGGTGGGATGGCAGGGTTAGGTTAAAGGTTGGACTTGATGATCTTAAAGGTCTTTTCCAACCTAAACGATTCTGTGATTCTATGATTATGGAAATGTTGACTGTGGAGTCTGAAAAAATTCCACCTCACTCTCCCTTGACCACGAAAGAACAAACGGGTGTTTCTCTCACTTTTAGCCTGGAGTTTCAGTCCAAGGAAGCAATTCTGTCACTTAGGAAGGATCTGGTCTTGCTTAATTTTTTTTAACCTCGACTGTTACAGAAACAAAAATCAACAGTATGCAGCAGAAACATTTGAGTGTTTCTAACATATAAATCAGTATTTTTCCCCCTGAAACAGTGCTTATGTATTAACAGGTATTAAATATTTACCTCTTACAGAACTGACAAGTGTAAGACCAGGTAAAGAAAGAAAACCTTCTTGTTCGACAGCAAAAGCAGAGCTAAAAGAAGAACAGAGGAGTCGACAATGTTAGGCAAAGTCCCCCACAATAATAACTTCATCTATCAGTTGCCGTCAGCGAGAGCACAGTTGCAGTACTACAGCCAGTTCTGGGGTCCATACTTCTAAGATGATACTGAAAAGAATGGTCCAGAATTGTATCTTCAAATGCTTAGAAATACTCCTTAATTTTTTAACCTAAATTAAATATTTGCCTGCTAATAATTAACTTATTTTTACTCCTCCCTCACTGCTGTTTGTATCATTACTACACAAAAAAAGCAATGGGAAAGTAAGAGGAACAGCAGTAAGGAAGGGTAACTGTTGCAACTGAAAACCACAGAACAAATGGGCATAAATTCAGCCATGAATACATTTAGGCTGGAAATTGCTCCTAACTATCCAGGTCAGGTTCTGAGACACAGGTTTTGCCTGCGATAACATTTGATGATTTTCTTCCAATCCTATGTTCTTGAAAACTAGAGGGGGTGCAGGGAAGAGCTATTGTAACAATCTTACTTGAGGAAAACCTGCTTTATAGAGGGATAATAAATCCCATCTATTCAGTTTATTCAAAGGAGGTAGGGATCACAGCTTAAGAACATTTCTAGGAAGGACAGGCAGGCATCAAACAATGAAAAGTGTTGCAGTCCCACAAAAGATGACATACTGAGATCCAAAGATGCGGGTGATGCTAGATAAATTTGGTTAGAAATAAAAGTGAACAATTTTAATAGTGGGGTAAGTTAATTAAAGCGTCAGCTTACTTTGTGACTTGATAAAAGCTCATTACTAAGCTTTACATATCATGACTGATATGCAACAGCTGAATCTAACAAATGATATTTTAAGATTCTTATCCCCTGCCTTAAATGTATTAAATCTGCAAACTAGGCATGGGTAGGCCTGTAGGTAAAACAGGCTGTGAAGTCAAAATAGACTCGCTGGAGGTGTTCAAAAAGCACAAGTCAAAAGCAGGAGAAAAGGATGCTGCTGCTACTGGTAAATAACAATTCCCAACCTGCAGTTTACAGAAAAAAATGTGGTAGTTAATGGGTTCTCTAATATTAAACCTCTTTCTGGGGTCACGTGTTGCCTGACTTCTCTGAGGGCTTTAATTCCCTCTTTAGGGAGGATTCATATGAAAAACCTCTTGTTATTTCCTCCTGCTAGCTGTAATTCTATTTTCAGGAATAGAAATGCTAAGCAAAATTGCAGCAGGCATGGGGACAGAAATCACTTTGGTCAATGAAGTTTGAAACATACATGTGCCGATACGCTCTGATAATTGCAAATGCTACTGCATTTTTATAGACGATCTAAAGAAATAAGGTATTTCCATGAAAAGTTTTGATGTTCCTGCACACAATTCAAGGAAGCTGACCCATATGTTATACATGTAGGGAGATTTTGGTGGATATTCCTTCTTTTTCTCCAATACAGGGTAAGAAACAAAGGTGTGAATCGGAGGCTTGTGCGACCGGCCTCCCCTCTATAAGCTTCAGAGCCTCCACAGACCCAGCCCTACCTTTCCTTTCTTGAGAGCAGTGTAGACATCTTTATATTGCTGGTACTTTTCCAGCTCCGCCTTCACCAGCACCTGACGGATGTGCATGACTTCCTCCACCGTCAGAGCCAGACATTCCACCGGGTAACAGAACTCCTCCTGGAAGCCAAAATGACCTGTATTATTTCAAAGCCAAATGGCTTCTTCCAGACTTCAACCTAGACAACCAGCCACCTGGTTAGTAACTCCAGAAACGGAGGGTTTCTCCCTTCAAACTGGAATAGCAGCGGCTCATTCATGGGCATCACATGAGTTTCAAACCGTCAGAGACTGCGTAAGTGTGATCTAAACGGTCTGATGTTCAGCCTTCGCAACAATGATGGTTTTCTTCATCTTTCCTTCTCAAACCACTGGACCCTTCTCTCCGTTTGTCTTTTACTACAAAGATCTGTTTCCAACCAATCAATGTTCAGGTTTGTAAGTTGAAAAGGTAATTTGGCAGGTGGTATTACTATTAAGTATATTGTTTGAAGACACGCATTTTCTCTGAGACTTTGTGGTGCCCAGAGTGGCCAAGGAAAGTTGTTAGTAGCCCATTCTAGCAGAAATTTTTATTCAGTGGTACCACATCTTGGTGGTCACATGATCAGAATCCCACCAAGACGACAAAAAGTTACAGCAGTTCAGGCAGAAAAGTTCCCTTTTCTGCCCCAGGAAAGTAACAGCAGCAATTTAAGCCTTACAGAATAATCTTCAAATATAAAGCAGGAGAACTGGTTACCCAGTGTTGCATTACTAATGGCAGAGACTCAAATAGAGACTAACACCACAACTTCCCACTTAAAACATTTTGCGTCTGTTCTGTATTACAGCATTTAGGAGAATACCGAGTAGAGAACTCCTGAATTTGGTACCAGAGAATAAAAAGCACCAACCCAATTTGTAATCCAGCCCTGTAGTTGATTATACATTTCCAACAGAAAGACAGAAACCTCTGTGGGAACTCCCATCGCTTTATGCCTGGTGAACCTTTTCAGTCAGCCCAGAGGGGCTGCTGTGCGGCAATGACAATGACATGTAATGTGCTCGGAATAAATGAAGGGAATTTCTCCTGCAAATACAAAGATGTGGCTGACAGTTTGGAGATCTCGTTTACAAATTGAAGTGATGAATCGGGTTAGTAGAGAAATGCCTCATTTCCATGTACTCAGAGGTCTGTTCTGTCTTTCCATTAGATTAAAAAGAAAATCTATCTACGTTGCAGACCTGGCAAACATTAGCATTTAGGAACCACCACATTTTTAAAAACTGTTGTCTTACCTATCTAGAAAGGGAACACAAAGAAACTTCACTCTGTTTAAGGCACCCCACAAAAGACTAGAATTGAGTTAACTTTGTTAGATGTGCCAGCTAAACCTTTGGGGTGTAGAATTGCTAGTTTTCTGGAAAGCGCAAACTACGTCAAAAGCAACTGCAATTTGCTCTGAGGTGTAAAACTGCACAGCCAAACCAAAATTAACTTCTGTTCCTTATGAGCAAGTTTACAGCTAGCCAGCAGCTCCCAGCGTTTTGTTCTGGGTTCCTCCCACAGCAACTGCCTCACTATGGAGAAAGCAGGGGCTGAAGGCTGGGGCGAGAGGGGAGCGGGGAGGGGGGGGAAGCGCGGTGCACAAAATGTCAGCGAAACCCTTGGTTCTGCATCGTGGGAGACTGAGAGAAACTGTGCAAGGTGCATGAGGCTGACGGAACACTTGTAACCAGTCGGAGCTTTAACTCCTTTGGAAATACATTTCTTACTTGAAGCTCTTCCTTCCCCCTCATGAACACCCATCCCCTTAATTTACAGAACGCTGGTGTCAGGAAATATGGAATCATAGAATCATAGAATCTTGCTCCTTTGAAGAAAGTCTGCAGATCTGCTAGAGGTGTAGAGCAGGTACTAGGGGAATAGTGTGGGCCTGTTGTTGTACCAATTGAAAATGATCATCACTAAGGCAAATAGAAATAGCTAGCAGGCAACAGGGGAAACATAGAAAATGTTCACATGTTTAAATGCTAATGTTTTAATTCCAGACATTATACAAGGACAACAAAATGTTAATGCAACATTAAATGAAAGATAAATATTATGCTGATTTCAGAAAATGGCTTGATTTCTTTTTTCCCCTTTTTGGAATAGAAGTAAGTACATGAGAAAATCTTTTGTTTCAACACTAGTTCTAAGGCATTGAAATTAATTAAAATTACGCTAAGCACTGACTAAACTTCATTACACAATGATGCTTTGGAGTTATTGCTCAAACTTCCAACAATAATCTGCACCCAAGTTAGGCAGCTCCAAGTGAGAGAACTTCAGCTGTCTGCAACAGTTGCATACAACAGAACATACTAAAGACAGAATGTGGCTTGAATGGTCTGGATTTTCTGGAATTGTACTCAATACTCAATATTAAAGACAAGTCAGTATTCTTATTTTTAAAGGGAAAAAAAGTCTTACTCAAAAATACTATCTGGAACTTGAATTTTCCATGATCCTCATGAAAACTGGCTTAACACTGACTGTGCAATCTTATATACACCGTTGTAGCTTAAGGTGTATATGTGTAATTTTTTTTTATTCTCAGGAAAAGCAGGTAGTAAGAATTATGTATCCATAATGTGAAATAAAGTGCTTTGTAGGTCATTCTCAGCAGACACACACCTAATAGGCCCTTATGACTAACACATTTTTACACTAATATATTCCTCATAAAACTTCTCATTAAAGGATGTCACTAGGCATTCAAATGAGCTGCCCTAATAAATTGCAATACTAGTAACTGTTGGATTGGTCTCTAAATTCTGCAGTTCACAATTAGTCAAGCACTCTAAACTCTCGCTGCTTTTGCAGACTAAAAGTTTCTAAGAAGTCAGCTGGATATCTCAATTATAAACTCTCCTGCAACAGGTTTCACACTTTCACTTATTGCTTGGGGCAAGAAAAAGAAGGAAAAAATTTAAATTATTCATGTTCAATTCTACATAAGGATAAGTGAATCTGTTTTTCTTTTCAGTGGATTTGCCTTCCCTGGTACATAGCTAGTAGTTATTCTGCAAGTCCTGATATGTAAGGGTGCTGAGGACCAAAACCACATGTAGGTTTTCAAGTAAAATAGATTGCAAATGCCCTTCCATTCTACAGTGTGTTATCTTGTTAGAAACACAAAACCTTATTCTTTTCAACATAGTCCAAGGATTACAATGGCTTTGCTGGATTTTTGCTGCAGGATCTTCATGTGCTGTAACATTTAAGGTCTGTCCCATTGATAATCTTGTGATGTTGCATTTTTAGTTTGCTGTCCTTTCAGAACTGATTTCTTTTCCCCGTGAAGTGATTGAAGACACACAAATATCCTACACACATTGAAATCAATGTCAATCAGGTGCAATGTCCCAGCCTAAGCTTTAATTCTTGCCACAGCTCAGGAAGTGCTCCCCTGGGAGGGAACATGCTGGTGAAGGTGATTTCCAAAGCCAGCAAAAAGAGGCAAACCTTTGCGGATTTCCACCTGCTGGCAAAAGCTCTCTCACAGAGATAGTACATAGCCCCTGCCACCCCACACATGGCTGCTTCAACGGGATGAGAGCTGAGCAGAGAAGCTGTTTGCATAGTTGAAAAAAGTGGTCTGAAAGTCATCCTTGGGAATAAACTGGTTATCCTAGGAACCTGAACAATAGATAGGAAGCAGAGAAGCGAATGCTGTATATAAATGAAACCATTAGCTTTGGTCCTCTGGGTCATGGAAAAAAATAATAATAATGATAATAATTAAAAAAGCAAACAGACTACAAAGGCATCCATATGTACATCTCAGGACCCTGGCTGCATCTCACTGATTAAGCACCAAGCCAGCTCACTACAGCACGCACACCACCAGGGCTGACACCCTCCCCACCCCCCCACCCCCCCAAAATCACTGAGCTGCTCTGCCTTTCCATGTAGCACTGGTAGGGTGACATATCCAAAGGACCGTGTCTGGCATTTTCCCAAGCTTGTTTCCCCTCCCCACCTACTTGGGTCTAACTTTGATGAGATGCCAGTTCACAAAACCGTTGTTAGTATGCAAGACAGACCAGTTTCCTGCTAATCCTGCTAAGAGACTGTAGCAAACCCCTGCCTGTTTTCACTGGCATTGAGGGCTATTTATTGACGAGGTCTCTTTCACCTTGAAGAGAAACTGCGGTCACAGGAGCAGGTGATAAGAAATGAAACTCCATCAATCCTGGAGGAAGGGATGAAGAAGTGTGAAGTCAAATAAAAAGTAAATAATATTCTACACTTATTGAGAAGCGTTTGCTGCAGGAATGGCAATGCTACACATGCAGCATCTGGTGCAGCCGCTGAAAGAAGCTGGCATCTCCCCAGGGAAGGAAAGACTTGCAGTAAGCCAAAGCATGGAACTGGGCCAGTGCCAGCATATCAGAAACCACTCACCAAAACTAAAAACAAAAATATTGTGGGAGCTGTCTGTCACACCCTAGAGGGCACTATTGCCCAGTTAAAGAATTAGATCTCTAGGCATCAAATAAAATAGGTTCTTACTAACAGAACATCATTTCACCACTGATTTTCCTTCTTTCTCACTTCATAGCCAAAACCAAGCTAGGTGACAGTGGGCTAAAGATTAAAAAAAAAAATCAAACCCAAAAAGTCCCAAGCACAAAAACTAGTAAAACCTTTCCCATGTGTTCCCACATTAGCCTGGCTTATCTAATGTCTTTTTCTCCTTTTTCCTTTAGTATTTTTAAGGGGAAGTGGAATAATTCGATTTGTTTTTCTGCAATGGTTTTAATTTTGTATATAACTTTCTAGGCATACATCAGTGAACAGACTGACAGAAGGAAAATGCATATGTGGTCAAAAGGTCCTTCTAAGAACTTGGCTGACCTATTTAAAATAATAACAAGATTTTTAAGTTGCATGACCCCTTCAAATACATGATGTAAGTATTATGATGTAACATAATTAGATATGCTAAAAGGGTGATGGAGCAAATACCTCAGTGTAACATGTAATGCTTTCTCCCCTCCTCCCTTTAAACAACATGTCTGTGAACGACTCTGGGCCTATCGGAAAATAAAGCTTGTGCTTCCATATATAGTGAGTGCAGCAGGCGATGACAGGGCAGTCCATTTTATACAATGGTGTGTTCAAATGCACGCTGAAGGAACCCTCCAGCTTGGTTCTGGTGCAACATGTTCTGCTTCAGGTTCACTTTGACAGAAGTCTACTTGTGTTGTGCGTTTATCAACATGCTACTACCTGACCTTCACCTGGAATGAGAAACTACATTCTACTTGGAAAGATATAGTAAACCAAATCCAGAAGACCCTCTGAAAAGAAGAGGAGGAAGAAGCATGTTGTGGGAATATTTGGAGATTATTTTCTTGTTACCATTCAACTTCTTCATCTAATAGGTTTGGATCCTGGCCACCATCTCTTGGGCCAAAAAACCCCACTCTCAAAGCCCATTAATACCACTGCACTACATGGTGGGGTGAGTGAATATTCCCTTCCTTTCAAAACTAGGATGTGTTTATCGATTTCTCCATTCACCAGTACCTCATGGGGCATACTTCGAAACCCTGCTGGTAGGAAAAGAGACGAGGAACATATCCTGCATGAAATTACAAAGTACTAATCAGTATGTCAGCATAAAAGATCCTGGATTTCATACCCTTTGCTGTTTATACTCTGTTGGAAAACAGCTCTCAATTAAAGCTAATTGGTCAAATGTACTGTACTTTCTTTTCATGCAGTAACACAGGTTTTTGCCTCAGTAACTTCACGAAAGGAACACAGACAAACCTTGATTTGGATTACTGAAAGAGCTTTCACATGTATAAACATTACCGCATATGTTCTTAAGGTGGGAGGACAAAACACCATTCCATGCATTCAGCCATTAACTAAAATACTTCCAACAACTAAAAAATTCCCCCAAATCTCAAAATAAATCCACTGTTTTGGAATTGTTTCTATTCAAATGGAAAAATCAGTAAGGTAAAGTTCGTCTGTTTTGGTAACATTCTGAAATAAAATCAAGGCACGTGGCTTTACTCAAAGTCCTAATCAAAGTGCAAACGTTTTCTGAGGCACCTGTACCTGGCATTTTGGATAAATATGCTAGAGAGACAAAGTTCAAATCTTGAATTCAAAATGTCTTTAGTAGCCAAGGGCTGTTTCTGAATTGAGGAGTTCTCTTTGAGTCAAGTTCTAATCACACTGAAGCCAAGTTTTAATTTTCATTATACTCTTAGCATGCCTCTTTTTCTCTCTCCTACCACCCACTCCACTTACAAGTGATCTGGAGCTCTGTTTTGAAGGTGGTAGGAACTGTCTCACATTGGTTGGTGTTTCCTTTTCAATGGAGTGGCGTCTCTGAGGTGGCTGCCGTCTCTCAGGCTGCGGTGTAGATGATATGGGCAAGAACTTTGGAGGCACTAAAGATTCAACCAGTATAAAAAAAATTAGTTCTTGTAAGACAGACTGTTGGTTAGCATTGCTCAGTACTTAAAACAGCCACTGATTTGCTAGAATTCCCACTACTGGTGGCTGAAGTTACACATCCATACTCAGAGCATCTTCAAGACAGGTATCACATTCATCACATTTTCCAGATTGAGAGAGTAGGAATACTCATAAAACTAGCAAATATAGGCATGCTACTCTCCAGTTACCACTGTATATAAATTTACTGTTTCGGGGTATTGGCTTATTCTACTTATTTCACCATTGTGCACAGAAAATACATGCACAGATTACACGTTTCATTACAAAACCTTTCCAGTGAAACTGAAACACTTTGAAACAAATGAAAAATATCGTTACACAGTAAAGCCTACAATAACTGTCCCCGAAAAAGAAGTACAGATCCTCCCCTCTTCCCACTAAGTACTTATGAGAAATACTGGTGATTGCTGTGTGCCTCTCAAACAGGTGACAGGGGTGCAGAAAACAGTTAAGTTGGTCTTGGGTTAGAATGTGGTTTTGCAGCAACAAATTCTTTTATGAGATGAGCATAGCTAAAGTACCCTCCATTCGATTCTGACTTCCTCTACAGTTCCACATCAAATTTGAGTATGAAACCACCTTCCGTTTCACACAGAGATCCACATATAGCGTAGGCTAATGCCTTCCAATCGTTAATCACATTTGACCTGTTCAGAAGGTTCTAGGATTCAGCTTTAGAGATTTATTGCATTACCAACACTTCAGCTTTCTATAAAGGTTTCAGACAAAGTTCATAGAACAGAAGACCACATAAGTGTGTAAAAGCAGCCACCGGGCCATCTCATCAAAACTCACTCTTTCTGCTGCTGGTGCCTTCTTGAGAGGGATCTTCCACTTGTGAAGGGGAGATGCTGCTGCTACTTGCCGATTTGTGCACTGATTCCTCCTGTGTGGCAAGAGGAAAAGAAACAGAATTCCTCAGGGATTTTTTTCCTTCTCTTACTGCTTGTTAGCACATAGAAATCACAAGCTGTCTAAGGTACTTTGCACCATTCAATCACTCAAAGCCCTAGAAGAAGTCCTGAGAAAAGCATTGACTCTACACAGCACTGAATAAATGAAATTTTCAACACTCGATGTTTTTAGAAACTGGAATAAATGGTACATGGTTGGAATTCAGTGTATTTAACTATCGCTTGAAAGAACAAGATCAGAAGAGAGGTGCACGAATCCATTGTAACCTGTTTTCCTCATTGTATTCAAGGACTTCTAAAGATTTGCAGCCACAGCAGACATGTTAACTCATTTATATCTCACACTAGTAAAGGATCAGCACTTGGATTTCTCTGGTCTCCAAAGGAATGACAGCCACTCATACAAGTGACTCAGGTAAAGAGAAATTAATCTGATCTCCACTGCACTGTTCTCTAATCCCTAATCCTGGTGTGCTTCTCCTTTCTTCTGCATTTAAATCTCATTCATTATATAAGCACATTTCCTCACAACAGCCAAGAGCAATTCCTGAAAGATGAATGAAAGTGAAATGGGCTTTGACTAACACTTTCAGTTTCCAAAGCGTTATGCACCCAAATTATGAAATCCTTTGCTTTCACCTAAAACCTCTGTTGTCAGCCACCAGATATCAGCAAGATACAGATCATCGCAGGAGCCTCCCAAAGGAACAGAGTTGAAAGACTGAGTGTGAATGCTCTTTAGCTCTAATGGGAATGCTTTTAACCAAGGAGACTTACATCATTTAAGTTGTCAAGATTTACAGATCAAACAAGTGACCTGCTCTAAAATCCAGCAAGTGGCTGAGCTCTCTCTCTCTCACAGCTTTCCTTAGTTATGTGAATCGCAAGCAGGAAAACCTCCACTGGCTGAAAAATTGCCACCTTCGGTAGCAGCAAGCCAGAAAAGCAAAGCTTGGAGGATCACCTCAATGAGCACCATGCATCACAGGACAGAGGCCTCTACGAGTTCCCTTCAGGTGATCGGTGCTTTATGCTTAGCCCAAGGGTATGCGTTGTATGCGAGGACACTGTGATTTATACTGTTCCCATGTATATGCCACAACACAATATCCTGCAAAGGGACTCAAATCAGCTCAGATCCCAAAACAATATATTCATTTCAACATATCAAGTGTGACCCTGCAAAACAGTTGTGATGGGAAGCTTGTAGGGAAGCCTGAGCAGCATGTTTAGAATCATAGAAATGTTTAGGTTGGAAAAGACCTTCAAGATCATCAAGTCCGATCATTAACCTAACACTGCCATGTAGCTACATCAGCTATTTTACTTCCAGAAGCCAGTACAGCATAGCTACAGAGCTAGCTCAGACAGCTTTGCGTATCACTCCTTCATGCCACATGGTTGCCTTAAAAGACCACTGGAGAACTTGCAAGACAATTGGATGCAATGTTCTTCAGAAGGGGTGCAACAGTTTTCATAAGTCTAGAGTTAAACATTTAAATTTTGTGAAGGAGAATAATCCCTGTACAAAGAGAAGCACTAAACTTTTCACTTTGTGGAAGTCAGATGCTTCTGAGTGGAATATATTACTCTCCCATTGGCAGAGAAGCTAACAAGCTAAGACGAAGAACTAAGTAAGCTGTCAATTAAAAAAACGTAACCATGGTGCTGTGCTGCTCATTTTCGTGAATGAAGAGCAGCCAGGGCTTCAGAGAGGACTTTCTGAGGAGCAGGTGGGGAACAGCAGTCTCTGGAGCACAACCCAAGCAATCCTTGCCTGAGAGAAGTCTCTTGTTCTGTGGGACCCTACCTAGTCCTGACCAAAAACTGTATGTGCTTCAGTTGTCGTCATCTTACACTGCAGAGTTTTACAAAAGACTGAATCATGATTCAAGCAACAGCCTATGCACTGAGTTTATTTACATGTTTTTCTGGGGGTTTTTGTTCTCCTCTTTCTTCCATTTTTCCTGTGTCTGAAACACTGGCAAAGAGAAGAGGTGCACAAGTGAAAATATCAAAAGCCTATATATATTTTAACATAAAACTATAAAAAAGGGATTTCAGAAACGTTTCATGTGTCCATCTGATTTTGCTAATTGCCACCTTTCAGTGGAAAGAAATAGCTATTGACTATTCTTCATTCCACTTCTGAACTCGAGATGGACATGTCGTCTCAGTCACATGTTGCAAAACTAGCTAGCACACAGGTGTCTCCATCTTGCTCCCATTTTTGTGGAAGACTTCTAGTTACTTCATTAGTAATGGATGAACACTGGCTATTCCAGTGGCCTAGGAGTCTTGAAAAAAACAGTGAAAGAAATGGACAAAAATAGAGAGCAAGGAGCTTCTCTATGGTAAAGACCTACAAGAAAGATTCCAGGAGCCACTCTTACCGCAGTTATTCTGAAGAATGAGAGGGAATGAACTGTCAGAGCCAATGGCTAAGTATAAAACCCAGTCAGTATAAAGAACCAATCCAGGGAGAATGGAAGCCAGGAGTATGTTAAATTTGACAATAAAAATATCATCCTGCTTCAACAACAGGTGTTCCTGGTTTGTCATTTCAAATCACTTATTCTATTGCACAAGCACATGCACTTAAAATGCCATTGCTGCCCTACGATTTCTCAAATATGGAAGGCTTTTTTTGAGAATGAAATCTCAAGTCATCAAGTACTGATGAACCATCGCATGAAATTCATTGTATCAGTACAGTAACTGCTGATTATTATGGTAGACTATCTGACATTTTACACTTGAGGTTGGATCAACCCAACATCCGGGACTGTGCACTTCTCCACAGAGTGCTAAACAATTAGAATTTTACGTGGACTGAGAAAGCTGCAGCTTTAAGGCATCGCCTTAAAACATCTGAATATGTTACTGACATGATTTTTGCCTGGATAGCTGTAGCTTCGTAAGGAAGATATCATTTCATCTCTGTATCAAAAAAACACTATTAGATTGCTACTTCTCTTAGCCACACAAAGCAAAACAGCATTTCCTGCTCCCCCTCTGAAACTGTGATTCCAGTGATGACTCAGAAAAGAGCAAGGACAGAAAGCAGGAACGGTTTGTATATTATTCATCCTTGCCAGCAAATGGGCACAGAGCTGTATCAGACCTTCCCCTTCACCTCTGGCTGGCAACACTGCGTGTTGGGGCGTAGTCTGCATCACAACACAGATGAGAGAAGAACAAAGGGGATGCAGGGGGAAGAAAATGCATCTGCATCATAGCTCATTTGGAGGTCCACAGCTCAGCAGTACAGGTATTTGCAGCCTGTAATTTAGGGCATAAGGTAGTCATAATACAACTCCCAGTGAGTAACTCTAAATAGGTTAAGCCCAATTCAAATTGCAGGAAAAGAGGTGGCCGAGTCATTTACAGGCAATCGGGACAACACATATGCTCTTCTGTGTGTTACATATAAAGTAAAAGTCAGGAAAGAAATAGGACATTTTGACAGAGCCTTCTTTGCTTTCTTCAAATATTCTATGTCCCACCCAAACTCCTTTCAGTCTCTTTATTTACACTACTTTAGCACTGTTCCTGAGCCCCAACCAGTATTCTGCTGAGCATCTTAATCGTCTTAACGGCTTCACCAGCTACTTCTGTTGACTCAAACCAGTACAGCATCTGTTCTCTGTGAAAGCTCAATGTGGCTGATTTATTCTCAATTTATCTTTTTCTGTATGCTCCAGAGCTTATTCTGTATGACTTCGCCTACCTACATAGCACTCCCTAATCAATAGTCACAGTCGGACATCTTATTTTTCGCTCCTAGAAGGATCAGTTCACCTTTCCCTTTAAAGAACTTTCTTTTACTGACTTCTGCTCATTTTTCTGTGTGAAATATCATGCTGCACTAGCTTCAGGATGCATGGAGCTACAAGCTGGGAAGCTGTAAATTCAAGATCCAACTCTCATTGACAGGTCTTCATATTCCTGCATCCTGCCCAGCTTCATTCATATTAACAAAACCTCATATAGCCTCTTTTGTAATTTTAAAGACTGCTGAGAGATTTCAGAATGCAAATCTCTTCTGCTTTCAGCGTAGATGCATCAAATTATGCACCCACACAAGTCACCCATAAGATAATCCCTAATACAAAGAGGGCGAACCTTTCACAGATCAAGAAAGTATGCAGAGAGATAAATTTCTCCCCACATCTATTTCTTCCCAGCCTCCTATCTTCCAGCTTAGATGTCTTTGTGAGTGCCCTGTCAGGAAACCCCTCCTTCCCTATTTACTAGAGAGAGTGAGTCAGGGAAGACTGCCTTCCCCAGGCTAAAATGAACCTCTGTGAATAAATCCTGCCTGCATGTGCTTTCCAGACAGCTTAACTTTCAGAAAGGTCCCAACTCAACTAATAATACCACTGGTCCAGAAGACAAAGCTCATTCTTGAGGACGTAATGTTGGTACTTCTTGAGGATCGTATATAATGAATCTTTTAAGCCAGAGAGCTTTTTAAAGCTTTTCTCCTTTCTATGCTTTTTAAAATCTTTAACCCTCCATTTGAGAGAGGATGGATTCAAAGTTGTTTCTCCATCTAAGTGGTATTTGCTTGTCCCCATCTGTGAAAAATTTGCTGGGTGTTACTTCCCAACCTCTGACATTTGCACCGAACTGCAACCCCTCTGGCACAGCTGATGCTCTTTATTTAACAGCTGGTACAGTGAGGCTGGCCTCACATCTGAGTCCTTTAGGGACAGCTCCTGCATGGGTGCCAGAAGGGTGCAACACATTTGCCTGCAATTCCCCAAAGCATAATTGCTACAGACACACTGTGGACAGATACTGGGCATTTAGAAAAATAAGTAAATATTGGGTTTAAGGCCAAAATTAGCATTTAACCTTTTAAAAGAATATTCTCATTTTTGAGATCTAATCTAGTATTTTTCAAGTCCTGTGGGCTGACAAAGCAAGCATGGAAAATTCATCTGATAATCTACAAAGTCACTTCTCAGCTGATCAGTTCAGAAAATTAAGGAATAAGACTCAATTCTGACAAATCGAGAAGCAAGTTGTGTCCTGATTTTTTACCTCTGAATCTGAGCTGTCAAGTTCAGCCAACGTGGGAGCCTTAAGGAGTCTCTTGCGTTGTACTGTCACTTGCGTAGCCCCACTCTGCTTTCCTTGTGGTGCCAGGCTACCGTTCACTACAGAGGCATCCACTAATTTTCTTCCAGCCTCTGGTGTAGATACATCTAGCAAAAGAAACAGAACAATTGGTGTTTGGACCTAATTTTTATTTTGCCTTCTCAAACCTTACTGTCAAGGCAATACACACAAAAGGAAAAAAAAAATTATTGTGATAGTTATATGTGTGCAATTATTTTACTTTAGCAATATGTTGCTCAGAGAACTACAGGCAATGGCTTGTGGTACAGAAGCAATACGAAAGAATGAAAGCAGTGGAAAAAGCAGCAGCGCACAATACTGAAAACCAACCTCAGACCAACAACAATCAGCTTTAAAAAAAAAAAAAAAAAAGAATAATCCTGTCTTAAACCCGAAAATATTCTTTCTTCAATTTATAGTCTATAATTAACTATATAACAAGTATCAGAATAATGCACAACTGTATCTGGACAAGTGCATTTCCAGTGAATCTGAACACAACGCCACACAGAAACTGGGAGGTTTAGCATGGAGTAAACCTAGGTTTTTTTCCTGTGAGGACAGAATTACACTTTATTTTGCAGTATACAGAAAAGGATTGAAAATGAACTAAATAACTAGCATTCATCAAAAATATGCAGAGTTCTTAGGCTTGCATGGTCATTTGTATTAAAAATATGTTTGTGGTGTCAAATCTTCCTGTAACAGCAGAAACATGAGGCTCCAGCTCTATTTTCATCTACATGAGTTTTACAAGGATGTAACTCCACCAAGTAAATTAGTCGGGATTTCTCCCAGCGTGCAATAAAGATTCATCTCGGATAACATAAGCATTGGGTCTGCTCTGCTTAGCCTAGCTTAGCTTAGACATTAAGATAATGACTTGGGCTTTGATATTTTAGGAGAGCTTAGAGTTTGGTCTGATAAATCAGTTTTATCCCTGTAAAAGTATAAAGTGCGGTATTCCAATCTGAAGAAAATTATGTCGCAGGCAGCAGGAAGAGAAGCTTTTAATCTCCCATTTGCATGTATGCCTAAACATCTGGTCTTTCTTCAAATGTGTTTTTCTACCCATGTAATTACAGGACTCCTTCCCCAGACTTGTAATAAGAAAGTACCTCCAGGTATTTTAAGGCTAGAGTAATGACAAGTTGTTATTCCCATTTTTATATATGGTGAAAAAGGCACAGAAGGTCAAATGACTTGTACCTTAGGTTACCAGGAGGACTATGACAGAGAAATGATATCAGCCAGGTATTCCCAGTGCCAACAGTGTAAATACTCACACATCATTTGGAGTTACTTACACAGTTGCCCTGGTATATACAGACATGGTCACTGCTGCCACAACACAACTTGCATTGATAAACGCCATTCTTGCACTAGGTAAGTTAAATCTACACAGTCTAAACAAAGCCTTGGTTGCAATAGCAGGTCTCTTTTTACAACGTTCTCACTGGAGCAGCTATCGCAAAGGAGTAAGAAGAGGAATAAGTTAAATCAATATATATTTTAAAGAATTAATTAGGTTATTGTTAAATGCTGGAAACTGTGTTAGAAAGGACAGGGGATGTATTACAGTTCCTCTCTAGATCGTACCTTCAACTGGGAGTAAAAGAAAAGGCAATTATTTGGACTATTAAAGTCATGGTGACATTCCAAGCCTATGAATCTGTGTACTACAGTGTTATTACAGCCTTCAGGTCCTCCCTACAAAGACTTGCAATCAAAGACTTAGACTCTCTAACCCTTAGTTCCTATCTTCAAAGGCTTTGCTAATGGGTGTCCTGACTAGCACTATGGCTTATAGGTCATGGGGTTTTTTTCCTCCCAGATTTCTGCGAGTACAGCATCCAGAAAGCGACAGCAGGAGAACAAAAACCGAACTGTCTCACCTCCCTGCTGCCAATACCACTTCTTGAGACCTCATAATTAGCTGCCATGCAGTTGATTGAAGCAGCCCAGGGTTTCCCAAATGAGCAAGAGAAAAACCTTTGATTTCTCTTTTGATTGCACAAGGTGGTTCCTGAAGACTGTCCAGTGAAGCAGCCCCAGCACCACTGACACAACAGCCAAAGGTGGTGTCCCTTCTCCCAAAAACTTCCTGGGTGGTGACTCCCCTTGCCTGACAGTAGAGAGGGTGAAGAATGGCTTGTAAGTACTGTTGGACTGACTGGGGGCATAAATGATGGGAAGGCCAACAGTATTGCCCTCCTTCCAAAAAACCAAAACACACGATAGGTCTGGGGAAAGGAAAGAGGAGGGAACATCCACCAGATATCCCCTAGCTAGTGCTATCACAGAATGGATATCCAGGGTACATCATAGACTGTTTTCTGTTGGGCTTATTTTTTGGTTGGGTTTTTTGTTGTTGTTGTTGGTTTTGTTTGGTTTGGGTTTTTTTGTTTTGTTTTCTAAGAATTTAGGCCCGATTTCTTTAGGCCCCAGAAACAGAAATTTCTGATCCATTTTGGAGGTAATTTTGTAGCCAATCACTATCTACAAAGCCAAAACCAACTGTTATTTAAATTCACATGTGTATGAGTTGTTCGTATACTGGTCTATAAGTCTTCTTGAAATACCAGAGAAGTTTTAGGTGAATCGAGAAGACAATCCAACACAGTATTTGTTTTGAAGGGCTCTTCAGTAGGAAATGTCATTTATCACCATTCTTTCCTCGAAAGAAAAAAAAACAGGGAGTGTTTTCACAACTTGCAAGCACTAAAGAATAAAAAACCAAGAAGTAAAATCGGAAAACTATCCAATTTATAAAATCAGTTTTGTCAATAGTGCTCAAGTTCAGTTTATCACTTCTGCACTTACAGTACTGGATATACATTAATAAATGGATTATCATAATTTAAGGAAAGGATCATTAAATTTTACAGTTTCAGGAAACAGATTTCAACAAAAATAACTTGTTCCAAAATTAAAGCCATAATTTGTTAGCAGATACAGACCAAAAAAATTATTACTTTGCTTAAGCTATTTTAAGTTATGTACTCAGGCAACAGAAACATGTGGCAAATAATCATACATCATCATAAGATAAAATTAATCAGGATAAACGAGTCAGAAACAACTAATAGACTAATGCTTATAAAAATGAGTATGACAGAAGAAACTCATGGACAGTTCTTTGAAACAAAAACCTGATTTTTTTTTTTTTAAATGGATAGTAGTTCCACAATCTCTAGTTTCATAGAACATCTAAATGTTTTGAAGATGATTCAAATGATATTAAAAAGAGGCTTCTGTGAGTAACAGCCTGGGGTTAAGATTTTATTAGAGAGTCAGACACACTGAGAGAGTGTCATTTCTCCATGTTTTCAGGCAGCAAGTACAATGAACAGTACCTGCAAATTGGATGAATATGTTTGGTTTCTTCTAAGCTATCATTACAACAGGCAAATGAAAGAAGAGGAGGTCTTGATTTGATTACTTGATCTTTGTGTTGGCCTTCCCTGACTAGCCTTAAGAAGGGGGAGACAAAAAACCCCACCCTAGGATAATATGAAATGCGTCTTTATTTACATGTAAGATTACGTCTCTTACGAAACGAGCAATTAAGCAGACCACAATTAGATGCAAACCACAGCAGTCATGTAGCCATATGCTGTCTGCCTCCTAACCAGCTCTCCTCGGCAAATAATGACAACAGAAACCTGAATTTTGTTCTATACAGCAAAGGTACTCCTCAACCCTATCATTTTTACACTGAGTTTAAAAGAAGGCTAAAATGGATTTGCAGAATTAACACCAATTTACCTTTTTCTAGTTATGATAATATACTGGGAAAGATAATATGATGAATAATGGTAAGAGATGTGCTGTTCCTTTCAATGGACTTAGATATTGAAGTCAAACCTGAGAACTAATAAATCAGTATACCAAACTGCCAGTTTTTTGCTGGTGTTTGCATCACTTTTATTGTTGTGTTATTTAAAATAAGAGATTACCAGGACACAGTGGAGTTCCTTCCTCACACTGGTCTGAGGCACGGATCTTATAAAGCCAACAGTGATACACATCACCTCACAGGGTTGGAACAACAGCAACACTCCCTGTGCAGTTTGGGTTTAAATGGTTCAGTTTCCTTTTTCTTCTCTCCCTGCTCCCCCGACCCCCCAAATGTACAAATCATTTCTCATGTAGCAAGTTCAAAGCAGCCATGCATATGACTTTAAGGTAAGAACTTGAGTGTTTAGATTGGGAATGGCTGGTCTTCTGAGCTGCATTCAACGGAGTACATAGAAGTGAAGCTGCTTTTAAGCTTATGTTCTATTAGAGGAAGTGGGCAATGACTGTCCTGGTCCCTAATCGATATCTGAGTACCTCTTGGATCACTCTCATTACAGGTGGCTACCGCTTGCTCCTATTCTACCAGCAGGGAACAGCAGGGTACGAGGAAGTCCCAGGCGCCCCTCCTCTCTTCTTCAGGATGACAACAGCAGGGAGATGCGTGGAGCCGGGCAGTGCGACACACCAACTACACCGGCTCAGTGCCAGCAAAAGTCTTTTCAGAATTGGTCTGCACCATCCCAGTCACAGACAGCAAGCATAATAAAAGCCTGCACCTGTCCTTTAGCACTTTGTAGGAAACACTTCTGTTTTTCAGCTGTTTTGTGGTTTTTTTTTCATGACAGCAATTACATCAAGCAGACAGCAATGAAAGCGGTGAAAAAGCAAGTATATGGAAACAGTGATCACAGAATGAAAGCATAAAATAGCTTCCCCGCCTCCAAAATAATGAAAAAAGTAAAAGCACGCAAAGCAACAACATTCAAAACTACTGCTTATCTACTTACTACTGACATCCCAACCCATCTAATTCATTTGCACTGCTCATCTGGTATCTCACATCTACCTAACTGGAATGTTTTAATCATCCTGAATTTACTTCTAAAGATAATTTATCAGATCACTCAGTCATGCCACATGATACTACTTCCTGAGAACCACATGACTTGAAAAAACAAAAACAATCGCATTTGGAAGATGGATAAAGAAAACAGGAAGAGTTCTTCGGTGGTCAGTCAAAAAGAGCAAATCCCAGTACAGTGTAGTTTGCTGTGAAGCTACTTCT